GAAGCAGTAAATTGTGTGCCAATTTACTTAGATGTGCCAACCTCACAGTTTTCCTTTAAAAGGATTTTCAGAGGGAAGTACTCAGAATTTGCACATTAAACTTTCCAGTTATGCTCCTCAGCTCAGACCTTCTCTGTCTCCTGGCTGGTTGTTGGGAAGATGGTTATCCTCATGTGTGCCCAGTGAAGCACAGGGAGTCAGGTTGTTGATCTGCCTTGCTGTCTCTAATGGTGATTAATTTTAACTTTTTTGGTCTTAATCTCCTGGAGCAGAATGTTCTGATATGACTTGTGAAACAACAAACAAAACCTCCCATCATGCAGTAGCAACACAGCAACTTCTGCCCCATACTGTGGGTTCACAGCATTTCTGAGTTTTAAAACATGTACTCTTTATCCTGTAATATCTTTTATTACTGAAAATAGTTTCACCTTTAAGTGTCCACTTATTCTCATAATTAAATTGTTTTCACCAAAGTTTTTATTTTCATCGATCTCAACAGGAATTCAACTTTAATATCTAAAAAAGTTTTTTTGCAGAATTTTCTCTGTTAGTAACAAGAAATGTTTAGTACCTACATTTGAAAATGAAAATGTGTACAGGCTGTGGCAGGATAATGATTTTACTATTGTTTGATGATAAATTCCTTGCCAGTGCTTGGTGATATTACTGCTATCAAAGTCAGAATTCTGCTCTCTGTCTTAATTAGCATTTGTTGTTGTTTTGTTAAAAATATCCCCAATAATGTGGTATGCTAAAGATACCATTTTAATGGAGCTGCCAAGAATGGATTTCAAGAATAGGCAGGTGATCATCTTTAACAGAGGGGATGGTATTAACCATAGTATTGATATGTCACAATATTTACAGATTAGGAACATACTATTTTAATTTGACTTTTATGATGTAAGGTTCATTGTTCTCAACACTCAGCTGCTTTTAGCAAAAACTTGATAGGTACTGTAAATGACTAGATAGCAACAATTATGCAAGGTTCTTACTCAGCTGCGCAGAAAAGATAAACAATGGTTTCTTGTTCTCTTTCTAGTGCATCAAAACTCTTGCTCTGGCAGTGTGTCACCTGGCAGAATTAAGTGTGAGATAATGGTTGTGTTGTGACTAATACACAAAAATATCACTCAGTAGCTAAATATTTGCAGAGCATGGTATTTTTGCATTTGTGACACGTGTGCTGTGGTTTGTTACCCTGAGTGACGTGCGGCCTGACAGGATGAGATGTTCAAATCTGGGTGTTAGGCAAACGTCCACAGCAGAATTGATAATCTCTTTAAACCATTGTGTGCTCACTGAAGGACATAATAGACCAACTCTCATCCTCCTGGAGTGCATGCAAGCATTTCTGCTGCTGCTGTGGGATTTACATAGCACAAATAACTGCATTTGCAGTGGTAAAATTAAGACATCACTTATCAGCTTAGCTCCTGTTAAGGTGTTAGTCTGCTCTGCATTTTAGTATTGATCTGTGGAAAAGAATGACTGATGGGGCTGTTGAAACCAAGATAAGATAAAGCATAAGAGCATATAATGACAGTGTGAAGGTTTAATTGAATGTTAGATAAGAGGAGATAGCCTCCTTTCACACTCTGATGCCTGTTTGTCCATTTATGTTGTGTTTTTTTTAGATTTTAGACCTGGCTCTGCATTATGTTCTAGCAGCTGAAACCTTTTATTGGCAGGATTGATGATTCCATTGGTTATATGTGACCTTTGCAAGCAAATGATATAAATAAAGTTCTTTGGATAATCACTTTTGAGGGGGTTTTCATAAAAAACTTTGTGTTGGGGAAGATGCTGTGAAACTTAGTCAAACAAGTTGTTCTATAAAGCTTGGATTAAAAACCAGAGAAATCAAAAAGCCCATTTCCAGCCAGTTTAGAAAAACTGGCAGAGATCTAAAGACTAGGGGCAAGCCCTTGGTTTTATTAATTATTCTCTTTAAAATCCTCCTAGAAAGCAAATTAAAAGGTTTGTCGTCAGAGAGTGGTTTTCATTTCATAGATGAAAAGGTAATTCATATCCTGAAATCACCTGGGTGCAATAATAATGACTTGCTGTTGTGGCTTGGAGTTGAGTACCAGCAAGATGTCAAATTTATCAATATTAGACTTTGCTATAAATATGACTTTGAGTCCTCAGCCTGAGTCTTCAGTAGCAAACCCACTGAGAATGCAGATTTATTACAATCATTGTAAGAGAAGGAGTACATGCTACTTGTGTAGCTTGTCAGCCACAGTAATGGAATTACAGCCTAGAATGGATGTATAGGAATGTACTTGAATGTGTTTTTGTCAGGATCACCAAAGGCTTTTCACAAGGGACTGAAATCTCTTGCAGCCCTGGGCCAGGTGTGCTGCCCACCCTTGTGTCTCACTTCTACTGCCAGCTGCTCCATCACCTTGTTGGTAGTGTAAGCTGCTCAGGCTTCATCTTGGAATGAATTTCTCCCCTCCACCAGCACTTCCAAGGGAGACTATTCAAGAGTTCTGCTCCTGTGGCCTCTGGAAACCTCATTTTTCTGTTCAAATTTGTTTCTAAACTCCATTTAGCACTGTGTTACACGAGTCTGTAGGCTGTTGCTGACTGGAGTCCTGTGCTTCATTTTGCCCCTCAGCATTCTCCTTACATTTACTGGAAATCCCATGCTTTGTATGTCTCACGGTGAATTTGCCATTTATGTCTTGTATTCATTGCATCACAGAGTACAGTGCTCAAATCTCTCCCTCTTCTGTCACTTGCAGTTGATAAGATGCCTGTTAGGAGTCTTAAACAATACTCTCAGCTTCCTTGCATGCTTCTCACTCCAGTCCTCCAGCTGTGCTGTTCTCCCTGTGCACAATTTCTGTTTATTGGTGCTAGCACACTATTTTGTGTTGCAAGCCCTCATGTTCGTGCCAGCTTAACCATACAGTTGTCAGGCATTCCTTTTGAATGGCCATGTGTTGGCACATGGAAAATTCATCTCAGCAGATACAGGTGTGTCTCAGGTACTGGATCATCAGAGCAGCATGAAAAAAAACCCACAAATTTTTCTTTGAATTCCATAAAAGAGCTTCCAAGGAGAGAAAACAATTGAGTAAGAAAGAAACCCTGTATTGGAAGTGTGGCATTCTCAGGTAGCTGTTCACCCAGGAAGGAATGGTGCTTTGCTGCCATCAATCCAACTTTATGATCACTGGGGGAAAAAATTCCAAACTAGTTTTATTGGAACCCAATAATTGCAATGTGGTATTTAAAATTGTAATTGTAACCCAAGTATAGTTTAAATTTAAAAGGAATTATTTTTGCTGTAAACTTAATCAAGGCTTTTACCTGCCTGAGGGAGTCAGTGTAATCCTGAGAAGCTGAAGTTACTGTGTTTTAATATCCCTTGTTATTGGTCCTCTAATAAGAGTGTCCCTTAGTGTTTCAATTAAAGGGAGTTTGTGATAGGTTTTTTTTTATCGTAGGGATATCCATCACCACCAAAATTTCATTTTGCTTCCATGCTGCAGCTTTTTCCAACAACTTTTGTGTGGTAACAGCCTTTGGCTACTGTGGAATTCTTACTAGGTCTAATTCCAGCATTAAAACTGAGACTTCAGAACAGTGTTAGTCTTTGCCTGAAAATAAGATGCTCCTTTCCCCCACTTTGGCAGTGTAGCTTTCTGCTTATCTTTGTGCCAGAAATTGATTGCCTGTTTTCTTGAGGAAGTTTAGCTGTATTTGTCACCCCCAGCGTTCTATTTCTGCCAACTTGTGCACCAACACTGAGTTATTTCTTGCAGTGTTATCTCATAGAAATGATGATTTTCTTTAGTGAGTGAAATGGTCTGTGTGCTGCTGAAGCAATGGACGGCTGTTTGAGCCTTGTTTCAAGGCTGCTGTTGAGCTCTGTGGTTTGTGTACCACCCTCTGGCCACAGAGGTTCTTTCCCAGAGGACACAGATGGACACAGGTGGATTTACTCAGGTTACTGCAGTGCCATTACAGTGCCATGGACCCAGAAATAAATGACAGAACCCTGCAGTGTCCCTCTTAACAGATCTTCTTTGTGTATGCCTTGGCAGTAAAAACATGAAGGTGAGAATATGCAGCAATTCTGGATTAGAAACATTATATTTGACTTGACTGAAAATTGGGTAAAAGTAATGGCTGGGTTTCTTTCTGCCTGTCTTTTTCTAAGGCTATCTGATAGTCCTGGTCTTGTCATGTTTCTCTTGGAATGTCAGGCTTTTGGGGCACTCAGAACATCAGGATTTCCCTCTAATTGGAGCTCTAGATGTCAAGGTGGTGGTAGATCTGTCATGAGCTTTGTAGAGCTTGGTTCTGTGTATTTTTGCTTTTTATTTTTGTGAACTTACTTGATAAAGGAAAGTTTCTTGAGTGCCCTATTGCATTGGCAGAACCAATAGTATTTTTAAAGTGATTTGTAATCCCAAAAACCTTGTATGCTTCATTGTGCAGTGTTTTGGTGATAGAAGAAACTTGCTTTTAATGTTTTATTTAGAATCCTTTATAAAGTCATGTTCAGCGTGGGTGTTTTGCTGTGTTATTTATTATAAAATTCAGAACTTCTGCATGAAAACCCTTTTCTTTTAATAATATTTTGGTAAGAGGGAAGCAGTAAATAAATCTGCAGATCTGGATTATATAGAAAATTTCCTGTGGTAAATGAAACAGAATCACAGAATCAACTGGCAGTGTGTGTGACTAGAAGGAACAGACAGTGGCATATTAAATAATGCCATGTACAAAAATAGCAAGTTAAGGATGATTATTTTTTGTGGTTGCGCAGGAGCTTGTGCTGCTCAATAGAACTGGTAAGTGACACACTCACAATCCGTTCTTGTCACATAAAGGTTTTATTGTGAGACACCTCTGCTAGCAGCACCAGAATAAACCCAGAGTTTGGTGAGGGCTCCACCGGGGCTGCTGGTGTTTGTCAGACCCAACAGGAGATGTTTGACACTTGCCATTAACCCTTTGCTGCCTTTCCCCAGACGCCCGAGGAGCTGGAGGACGTGTCTGACCTGGAGGAGGAGCAGGACACCCGGAGCCGCACCAGCGCCCAGACCGAGGGCAGGACGGACCGGGTACGTGGGGCAGGGCTGGAGCGGCTCTGCCAGCGGGGAAAGGCCGCTCTGGGAAGCCACTCCACAGCTGGAGTGCTCTTGCTGCCAAAACACGAGTAGCAGTTTGTAGGTTCTTAGTATCAAAATGTACTAAGATCCACTAAAGCTTTCAGAGATCACATGTTCATGCGCGGCCGTCTACTTCTCAGCTAAACCAGAGTACTTCTTCAAAGGGAATGCTTCTCTCTGAAAAGAAAACTGTAAATAACACATACTTGAGAGGGCACAAAGCAAGAGTAGATGCTGAGGACTGGCAGGTGAGGAGCTGGCTGTCACAATCAGAGGCACAGACTGGTGCTGTGGGGAGATGTGTCTGGGATGTGCTTCTTTCTCTCTGGGATGTGCTTCTCCTTGTGAGGTGGAAGGGACTGTCACACACAGCCTGTTGTTAATGCAGCTAAAACCCCTCATACTTTAACATTATAGTATGGGCATCTCTGGTTTTCCCACATTCCTCCCTAAAATAATACAGCTACTGTAAATGTTCCTTTTTGTGGCACCTAGATAGAGGTCATGGCTTAAAGCCTGATTCTATAGTTTAGAAACAATTTTCCTAGGTTTCAGGTCCTGCTATTGGGCCAATAAATGGCACATCACCCCCTGAAAGCAGTTGAAAATTATAGCTTTGACTAAATTATATACATAGGCAGTCAGGCTGGAGTACCATATTGACAGATACCTGCACACATTTTTTTTTTAAAGATGTCTTAACAAATCTTTTTGCTGCTGCAGCAGTAAACAGGAACAGGTGATTTTAGGCCTCTTTGTTTGGAGGGCTCTTTGATATTGATATTTGGAGATCTATACCCAGAAGCTGCTTAGCCATATGAGGGATCTGTGTGGGGAAGATGGATGTTAAGCTTTGGGCAGTGTGTGGTTTGTGGGGTGCAGCAGCTTTGTGTCCTGTTGGAAGGCTGTTGTGTGCGGTGTTGACACCAGGAATGACTGTGTTCCAGAAGTCCTTTGGCAAGATTGCAGAGCAGCCTTTTTTCCTCCTTGAGTTCTTTCTCTTGGGCATTTCAGCTATAATAATTCAGTTTTATTTATACATATCTGGCTCCATATTCATTCTGCACAGGGGCACTCTTGATTCCTCTTGCTTTGTCAAGAGTGTTGTAATTTCTTCGATGTCACATCTCTCACTGCTCCAATGGGGAACTGAAGCCTTTTTTCTTTGTTTTTATCACAACATATAAAACCAGATGTGATGTGTGTATGCCACTTGTAACAAAGGCTACATCTTAACTAGCAAATCTTGTTTCCCTTATGTATGAAAAAGTCATGTATTATTAATCACACCTTCAGACTCTATCTCCATAAAGAGAGAGAGCAGAGATTAGGTGTGAGATAGTAAGGCTGGGATTTGACCTCATATTGATCTTCCTCGCTCATCTTGAAAATGTTACTTCATTGATCTTGTCCCTCAGATAGTTTCCTATTTCCGAGATGAATATAATAGTGCCTGTGGCACCATCCCATGCTGGGGAATACAGGTCAATGTGGGCAGTGTGCTGGGAGTTCTCTGGGTACTCAAACTGGATAAAAATACTGATGATTATTTGTAGGATGATTTTACATCCTTGAAGAAGAGGCTTCTTGGGATCAATCCCTTAGCCACTGTAGGAACAGGTACTGCTCATGGATCCAAGAACTAATGCAGTTTTCCCAGCTGAAGTTAGCTCTTCCTCTGGTGGTTGTGTGTAATTTGTGTGGTCAGCTCTGGAAGCCTATCTCAGACTTATTTATGCTGCCATGATGAGTGGAATTCCTCTGAGGGAGCTAGTGCCTTGTTATTGTGGCATTCTGTGTTGAAGAGAGGAGTGAGTAAGATTTTGCCCCGTTAATTTTCAGCTTAGAGGACGAAGTACATGTTAATGATCAGGAAAAATTACTTTAAGTGTTTGAAGTTACTAAATTAGTGATAAGAACAGCTTAGCTTAATTCAAAGTTGCTGCTGCAGGTTAAGGTGATGATATTGAGGAAGAGGCAAAATGTTTTACCTCACAACTTAATCCTCTTAGGGATGGCAAGAGCAGAACTCTTTTAGGCAGCCACACACCCACATCTTTTGTGTCAGAGTTCTGCATATAGAACTTTTTTTTACAGAACTTTTATGAATGCATGGACAAAAATGTCTGGGATTAAAATAATTTTTTATACAGTTTTGTTGCACACTGTGTTTGTGCAACAATTCTGGGCTGAAAAAGAGTTGATACAGTGTGTTTGTGTTCTGTGAATGAGAAAATCCAGGCTAAGTTATTTCATTGTTGTATTTGTATTGCACTTTAAATACAACGATTAACTATATAGCTCTAAAAATCTACAAAACTCCAAGAGGGAAGCCTGGATAAAACAGCAGAGACAAAGAAGAACTGTTGATACTTGCATTAAAAGTAGTTAGAAGGGAAGCTAGGTTTGCCATCAGATTAATTAGCAATTTTTATTCAAGTGGCAAATACTGTATGTCTAAGTTCCTACATTTAATGAAATGCTGACATGCATTAACAGGAAGTGTGTGCTATTTTGTTAATAAAAAATCCAATTTCAGAATATTTTTTTGAATTTTTATCAAAGCCCTGCACAAGCAGGAAATACTGGTAAGAATTCAAGCATAATGAAGATAACTACTGTAATTTTGAGGAGGTTCTATGAATAGTAATTTTGACACTTGATACATAGCAAAAGATTCCCTGTCAGGAGTCATGATCTATCAAAAGCATTTAATTTTCTTGCCAATTTTTAACCCAATTTCCGTAAAGAGATTAAGTTACTGAAATACTCAAGGTTGCAGCAGTATATTATATACTTCTACAAAGTAGAGCTGGAAAGAACCTCAAGAACTTGGCTAATCCAGCCATTTGGCCCAGGGCAGAATAAATGCAGTTCTTCTTGACACACACATATATATGAACAATTCTATTGCTCTTTCTACTTAGCTCATTACTGGAATTGATGGTTTTTTGGAAAGTTTTTGTCCTTATACCTCATAGGTTGCAATTAACACGTTAGCACTCATCTGGAATGGACACAGAGTGAAGTTCCTCTCTGTATGTATTTTTTTAATGTACTTGTGCATCCTTTCTCTATGGCCTCTTTTGGACACTCCAGGTTGAATAACTTCAGTAACCTTGATTTACTCTTCAGGGTGGAGTATCCTGTATGTTCCTTTAGTCTCTGTCTCCTCTGGGTGCTCTGCAGCTGGTTAATGAATTTCTTGATTTTTGTGTCCAGACTATTTATATTGCAAAATGTGATCTCAGCAGCACAAGTGAGAGCTTTGCAGTATTTCCTGCTGTGTGCGTAGTTCACAAGGAGCTTTGTATGAGGTTTGCCTTTCTGCCATGGGCACAGCCTTTTACCAGCCACAAATTCCTACCCACACAGCTGCCCATGGCTGCTTCTGTCTCAGTTCTGTGTGTGTGCTGGTGATTTTTCTTAGGGGTAAACCCTGTCATTGTCTCAGCTGCACTACACCCTGTGATGTTTTTAGATCTCAAGGGCACTGGGAGTTGTAAACCAGGCCACTTCCCCTGCCAGGGTGCAGTGTGGACCCTTGGTTCTGTGGGAACACTGACTAATGCTGCTCCCTTCACAGCTTTTCCTGATGGATCCCTTGGCTCAGTGTGTGCTCTTGATAAGTGCTCTGCAAGCAGTTTTCTAACCAATATTACATCCACCCACTGGAGATTACATCTAGACCTTATTTCTCCAGGTGATTTGTAAGGATGCCATGAGAGCCAGTGGCAAAGCTCTGGTGACGCCCAGGTTCAGGGCATGATGCTTTTTCATCTATGGGCCTATGGCCCTGGGACAAAGAGAAATTGCATTTAATATGCCAAACTTGCATCATCTTCTTAGTGAAGGCTGATGCAAAAATGGCGTTAAACACTTTGTTTGCTCTCTCCCAACACTTTCACCTTTTCATCTGGTTTATCCAATTATATTGCATCTAAAAGTGCAGCAGAACTGTCATGGCAGAACAAATGAGGCACTCTCTGAACTTGTTTAAGGAATGCTGCACTTCAGCAGGCTTGCTGCAATTCTTGAAATGGGGAGAAGGCAGCTGGTGACAGCAGGCAGTAAAGTATTGACAGAAACAGAGCTTCTCCCCTCTGTCAGCATCACACACCCACACTGTTCATCTCTGGGGGCGTGTATTCACTTAGCTGTGAATGCTGGATATCCAACATACCTCTGTCACCTCTTCATCCAAACTCACAAACTGATTCCCTCAGTAGGAAAAGTAGCAGTAAAAGGTAGTGGACATGTCCTGCTCGTTTTGACAGTCCCTTTGACTCAGTGGTGTCTCCATGAATTCACTTAGGAACACCCTGGCACTCAAACAGAATCAGGCTCAGGAATGGTTTAGCCTGGGATGGACCTCAGGGGTCACCTCGTGCCACAGCAGGGATGTCACTCACCAGCTCAGGGCTCAGCTCACGTGTGTGTTGTATGACAGTGCTCTGCAAAGTTTCTTCAAGAAAAAGCCAGTTAAAAGCCATGATTGGAGCTGTTGTGAAACAGCATGATTGAAATATACTGCTGTACTTCAAGGGATCTACAGGGGTCCTGTTCTTTTTCACCAAATGTTCAGCTGACTGCAGCAGGAGAGCAGGAACAGGCCAGAGGGCTTCTGGTGGAATGAAAGCCTCAGCTCCCAAGACAAAGTAGGGACACAAATCTGTTTTTCTGAGATCTCTAGCATTTTCTTATAACTACAGTATATGAAGAGCAGGTTATTTTGTGTTCTTGCATGTAAAAGCTCTGAGAAGTTTTCCATGTGCTCATTTGGGAAGCTGGGGTTTGTTTCCTTGCAGCCTAAAAAAGTGCAGAAAAACAGTGTTTTCCTCTTTTCTTCTCTATAGTTACATGACGTTTTGCAGCTGCAAAGCTGGAAGTGTTAAATAATTTTCAAGGGAGATTCTTTGATTTTACTTGAATGTATTGTGCTGCTTTCTGTTGCGTTTCTTTGCTTCCTGGTCCCTGTAAGTGGTAAGAATGGTGCTGGTGTGGGTCTGGCCTGTCACTTGGTTTTAGGAATCAGGAAACAAAAAACATGTCAGTCTGAGATTTTAGGAGCATAGTCAAAGTTTATGTGAAAGTCAGATTCTTGGAGAGCAGCCCGAGACAAAGGTAGCAGAAAGCCAGTTCTTAGGGTTGGGATGTCATTGGCCAGCAGTGTACCAGGGAGAGAAGAATCAAAATCATCACCACTTAGTTACCTCCCCATGTGTCCTCACATGGCCTTAGAAGTTCAGTTTCATTGGTGGAGAAC